TTTATTTAAATACACTGAATGATTTTAAATATTAAGCATGACAAAAAAATATTAGTGAATGTGATCAATTTAACCAAGTAAAAAACCTCAAATGCAAATATAACTTTAAGTCAAATCTATTGATGAAAAATAAGAATTATATATGGTGTGCGTTTTATATATTTCAACTGAATTGAAATTAAAAACATAATATATTAAGTCAATACTTGTTATTATTAGACAAACTTAATTGATACAATGTACAACACAACAATGCACAAATGGAATGACAATCAATCCAACTACATTTGAAATCCACACTCAAAATTGCAGTTTTTCAAAAAATGAAAAGTGAAATTTTAAGAACATAATAAATTATGAATTAATTTTTTTTAAATGATTATTGAAAATTACTATTTTCAAAGATAATATTGTATCGCAACTATCAAGATCAAATAAATGGTGCAATAATTTTGTGCGATTGAATCATTAGGTGTTGAATCTTTTTGTTGTCTTTGAAAAAAATTCAAATCATCTAAAATTAACTTTTAATTGAATGATTATTTTTAACAACATGATTTAAAATCATATCAAATAAAAGTTTCAGATGAAAAACTGATTTTTTTCCATTATTTCATAATTACATGAATTGTATTTTTGTTAAAGAAATTTGCAACATACATTGCTATGATTGAAATTTGAAGATATCAATGCTTTAATCTAATGATCATTATATGAGCAAAATCTTAAAATAAATTGTAACATCAGAGTTGACGTGAAAAATTTGAAAAAAAAATTTCATTTTGAATCATCTTAAATGTAATTTTTGATGTTTTAAAGTCTAAGGTTTGTTTTTATGGATGATTGTGATCAGTTTGAAATGTTATATTGCTTTTTAAATATTTAGATTATAACGTATTCTGTCATTCAAAAGAATTGTTGCTCATTTCATAAGGAGTTTTTTAAGTCTATTATCAAAAAATTGATTTCAGTGATGAAATCAATTTGTTGTCGTTAAATATGAATACAAATCATGACGTTATTTTTTTTATATATCAACAAGGAAAGAAATCCAATTTTTTTTTAAAGAAAATTCATGAATTAAGTATCAAAAAATTATTGATACAAATATCTTACTATCAATTTCAATATAAATTATTCCTAGAAATATTAAAAATTTTTACAAAAAATACTGAAAAAAAATCTTTGGAACATAGTTTTAGTTTCTAAACTCACAATTTTAATTGAATTTTCACAATATATTTTCTGCCTTAGAAGAGAATTTTATATCTTTTGTTCGATTTCTTAGCACAATGTCCAAATTTTTATCCTTGTATAAGTATGTTAGAGAAGATAAAGTAATTTAAAATGAAAATACATAGAGGTTGTGATATAATTGAAGAGTTTGGAAAAAAATTCTGGATAATTTTTTCACGTAAATCAGTGTATTGGATATTGAAAGAACTCCAAGACAAGTGATTTTCACGAGATAATTTTTTCATAACTATGTACTATATTTTTCGTTAAAATACTGGAGAATAACTTGAAATTTGTATAAAGGGGCAAAATATGTAGGGAATTTGAAATAGCAAGAAATCAAAAAAGAAGAGATTAAATATTAATGTTGACTGAATCTAGATGCTGACGTAGAAATTTTGAAGGGATTTGTACAAATTGTTTACTTTTTCTTCCCTCCAATCGACTTTTAACAACACTTCATACAGAGTAAGTGTCAAACACTTATTGTATAGATGACAATGACTAAACATATGAACCCTTGTGATCATTAGCAGTCTATTTGTCTTCTAAAGAACGCAGACATGAACATCTACTTTTCAGCCGCCACATACCATACAAACGCCATGTTGATCTGGTGTCCTAAAGTGCTCCATTGAATCTCAGTCACGAAAGAAAACTCAAAAGTGTATCAATCCCGAAATTTGATTTGTATCGTATTTTATTTCCAACGTGTGTCCATACATCAATATATGTAGTCACCAGCGAAATCGAATCTCAAATGTATATCTCCACAGATAAAGTGCGAGCAGATAGCTCCCATCTATGTGAAGCTCTATTTTAACAGAATACAAAGCCTACACCTGAACGATAACCACATAAAAACAGTTGAAGGTAAAAAGTGGGCGAATATGTATCACATATACGAAAAACAATTAGGGTCCATACTTGCAACAAAGCATTCGGATTCCTTGCAAACAAATATCACGAGCATGAAGCTGGAGCAGATAACACATCCTCCTGCATAGAGAGCAACCACCTGATGCCTGTTCACCGGATCCTACTTCACACATCTACCGGTGATACACTAAAGCTTTAAGTGACAGACACTTCCGATAAGCGTTTAGTTGCGCTCATCCGAAGTTGCTGTATTTTGCAACGTCCTTGCAGTTGATACAAACGTTTATTGCTTATTAGGTCTCAAGAACTTCAGTTCATTTTTCTTTCTATTGAAATTGACATGATGATCAAAATGAATATTTAGTAATCAGATCTTTGTGATATTCAATGAGTATTTGTAAATATAAAGTTATTCATGAAATATTAGAGTTAATTAAAATTACTTGAATAAAATAGCTTCAAATAGTTTGAGATATATCATAATGTTGTTTTCAAAAAATCATGTGTGTACTTTTTTAGGTATCCTATTAAAAATAATTTTTTTCTCATAAGTTATTGGAATAAATTACGTGTATCAGTTGATAAGCTAGCTAATATCTTTATTTTTGTTAAAAAATTCAATTCATAAGTTAATTTTTGAAAGATGAGATTAACTGTAGTTCTATTTATGCAATATTAATGAATGATTTAATTTTTTTTACTATTATAATTTGAAAGCTAGTTATTTTTTATATGATATAGACTCCATACATGTTACTGGATATAATATTGACAACAGTTGTATTTCTACTAAACGATTCTTTACCCTATTTGAATAAAGAAAATACTATCAATAAACTAAAATCTTAATTTTTGTCAAAGAGATTCAAGAATCATTAGAGTAACAACTATAGATTTCTCGTCCTTGTGTATGATGATTTTTTGTGTATTGATATATGATGTGACAACCATGTATGTTTTGTTGTCAAAGAGATATATATTACATTAGTAAATTTTTTCAAATTATAATCTACTGATTTTCATTTGCTATCATATTTTACTATGTATGTCTTGAGATTACTGTTACCTAACTTCATCTTAAATATCTCATAATTTTATATTGATTCATATAAGAGGTAAATCTTAGCGAACCTTAATCCAAATGAATGAGCTAAAAAGATATTTTTTTGTTCATTACTACTAAATTTGAAAAAAAATCTCTATCAATCATTGAGCAATCAAAGTACTTAATTCTTTCACTTTCACGAACAAATTTCAACTTTAGCTTCAGATTATATAATTTATTGTCATAAGATATATCGCTGTATATTTATGTAATGCATTAAAGATATCAAAGACTTATTTTAACCAATTGTCTCACTTTGTGCCATCTTATTATAATTATTATATTTTCCAATTAACTTAATTGCCATGACCTTAGTGCTAGCAAATTTCATCTAGTCTCAACTATCACTATTAAAATTCAAAACTGGTTTTTTTATGTTTCTCAATGTCATCATATGAAAACATGTATGTCTAAATTCTGAAATTATCAAAGATACTCCAAACTCATATGAATTGAACCTCTCATTTCGTCCAATCTTGCTTTAAAATAAGTCTTTGAGTTTCATTTCCTTTTTACTCGTTGAATCTTGCATTCGGTATAGTAGATAACTGAATTAAATCCGGTCTTCAATGTTATCAAAAGGCTTCATAAAATGTTAAAGTTTTTTAGGGTATTCCAATTCTTTACAAGAGAAAAAATCTTTTCAAGCTTGGATTCTTTTTAAAGTTAATAATTTTTTGCTTCATTTCAAATTTATATCAAATGTTCAAGAATGAAAAAATTCCATGTCTAATACAATAAGTATTCAATATGCAATGACTTTAGTATGAATCTCACAACAAAGCACATGATATTTTGAAAGGATTTCAAGTTTTTAAATGAATCTAAATCTGTGTTTTTTTATTAATTATTTCACTTTATTTTTAGCAAAATCTAATGATCTAACTCATTTAATTTCAAAAATCCATTACATTATATATCCATTTGTTCAAATAAATATACTTATATAATTCTGTCTATATTTAACAGGATTTAAGCTTTATGAAAATTTCAGGTGTTCATTTCTTGTCTTACATGTAAAAAAATAAATTTACAAATTTAATACTTTAACACATTTTGCAGCCAACTTTTGTACACAGAATTATTACTTAGATCCTATGATATGTGATAAATGCACAAAGATTAGTTTGTGTTCGTTGACAATTGATAAGACTATTCCAATTGTTTTATTGCATTTCAACGATTTCTTATATTTTTCTAAATATTTTTGCAAATTCTAATTTTCTCATGTGAACATTTCCTTCTTGTTGAACTAGTCTCCACTTCAAACAACACTTTTAATCGTGATGATTAAAATTACTTGTAATGTCTAAGATAATCTCTCAAACTGGATACACTACTCAATGCAAGGAATTTTATATTTTCTAGTCGGTCAATGTTTATGTAAATCATTCTACTCGTAAAAGGTAGAGGTATAGTGTCACTTTACATTGTGCTATTGGTTTATCTGATCCTTGTAGTGAGCCACAATAGTATCTGTTGTGAAGTAACATTCAGCAGAAACATATATTCACAGAAATAGTTTGGAGATAAACTACAACAATGTTTGAAGTTTATATATCTCCAAGGATGTAATATGTGCACGGGTCATAGCTCTGCAATCTCAGGACGCAGTGAAGCTAGCAAATCTAGATATCGACAAGTTTGTCCGTGTGAATATAAACACACTTAGATCGCTAGTTATCAGCTACAGCTAGCTTCAAGGGGAATTTTCATTGCACATGAGCAACTGCGCAATTGTAAGACAAATATACTATCGAAATGATTAAATATCCTTTATTTGAATCCATATACAGTCCGATTCCACAAAAAGTATGGACAAATATGGACATTGAAGTACAAACATGGATGTACATGGGACCCTACACCGAGAGATCTACAGAGACGTCTCGATTTGATGCTAGTTTTCTGACCCTGCATCACTACAATCTTAAGATCATACATTGAATAACAACTAGGTTAGGGATTTACGGTCCATTAAAGAGTTCGAGTGACACCTTCGCTTTCTCAAGTCAGTTGGATCGGTGGTAGTTATTACAAGTGTGAACCTTATTCTTGCCAGAATCAGCCATCTGAGCTTCTCTCTGGAGCTCCTGGATTGTCTGTTGCAGCTTGATGATGCTTTCGATGGTGGTATCGATGATTGACATCTCATCAACAGCTGGTACTGTGGGAAGTATGGTAGCCAAAATGAGAAGATTTTTATTCAGCTTATCGATTTTGTTCTGATCTGGAATTTCCCCACTGAAGTATGGATCGATGTCAGAGATGTCGTACTCGTTGCTTCCGTCTAAGTGAGCTGAATCAGCCGTAGCCTCAGTCAGATCACTATTGCATGTAGAATTCTCAGAATTTGCAGCCATTCTGTGCCTTTGAACTGTCTCACAAGGAAAGGAACTTGTCATTTTAGCACAACAAATCATTTAGAAGGTATATGAAGTGATACAGTAAAAGGGATGGGAAGAGTCCTCCAAGTAAAATCTACAAACGTTTTGAGAAAACCATCTATGAGATTTTATTTTCGCCATTGTTGCGCCTAATGAATCAAAGAATCCTACAACATATAGCAGAATAAAATTACAGAACTTGTCAGCAAGGATTTAAATATGAAGGAGCTTCACCTTGATCGCCAAATCAAAACTCCGACAAAAGATTGTGGAAGACTGGTAATCCTCCCGTTCTATGTTTCAACACAAACCCGAGCCTATTTCTGATTCTCAGCACAACGATGAAACAATTTGATACCACGCAGAAACCAAAGTGGACTATTTATACTTCAGCTCCAGGGACACATGAAGAGAAGAACCCGAGGGTGACACAAAGATTGCCTGTAGCTGAGAACTGGAGTACACTGAATTGAACGAAGCGTTTGCCAGCAAAAACTTACACATATCAATGTTCGGACAGTCACGAAAAGACTGAGTCAGGCTCAACACAAAAGCTGCGGGTGCAGCAACTCTCTCTAGCTGCGGCTCCTCCGCTTCTGACACCCCAATGAAAAACTAGTGTTCCTCGTCAAACTTGCTCCCCGCTCGTTCTTCTTCACCGTTCTCTCTCTTCATTCAGAATAATCTACAGACCAGTACAGGAAACATGAGCATTACACGGAACATGCAATGCACTATACCACGGGCCTGGTACGGCTACTTAATGAGTACATATCAAATGCATGTATCGCCTGTGACCAGTTCTTCAGCGGTTATTTCGAGATATTATTATGAGTACATCTTATGGGGTTTTCTTTACAGTAACTACAAATTAGCTAATTAACTAGTTGTAAAAAGTTTACTGTTGGATACACTTCATTCAGTATATCGTTAGTTTATCAAACATTTAGATGAAAACTTATGCCAACTTTTCAATAGATATATAAAGAATTTTCATCAACAAAATCAGAAACCTTCTTGGTTTAATCAGAGTTTCAGTTCTGATGTGGTTTAGATTTTGTATTGCAACTTAGCGCACCAGCTACAGTAGGTAGGAACATGCCTCTGAGATGCATAACTTCCATAGCTCGTGGCCGTCACAGGTTCTGTAGCACATTCATGTATATTACTTGGATCTTTATAATGATGATTAGTTCTTAATGTGTGCAATTATCAACTGTCTCGCGTGTTAGATTATTCTCAGAATTTGGCTCGATGGAGGGATATCAACTCATTTCTGGTAATCTAATAAAGACAAACAATGGGACTGCTAAACTGACTACCAAGTCATATTCAGTTTGATGATTTCCAGCTAGATACGTGGGCATGCCCTCAAATCAGAATGCAAATATCACTTGTCTATTTCTTCCAGAAGCTTGGGAAGTAGTGTGTCTTTTGTTGGTGTGAGATAAGATATGGACAAGTCACATAGTTTCATCTAATCTATCTCTCTCGTGAGGTGACGTGAAACCATTTTGTAAATCAGAATCTTATGAAGGTTATGTTCTGGCACTTAATATGAGAAGTAAATCGTCTTAAGATAAAAATTTCAAACATTCAATGTTACATTCTTTCTCCTCAATTCTGAGAAGACCAACGAGAGATTCATCTATGGTGTAAGCCTTTCATCCATGGCAGGTTCACTGAATAGTTAACTGGTATTCCTGATCCCAGATTCGATCAAGTACAGGGAGTCCACTACAGAAATTGTGGACAAATTGAAGCTTAAATCAATCAACAGCTAGAACACTGAATACACCGTAATGTGAGCACGAATTACTGTATGCCTACGATGAAATATGACTCTAATTCAAGTGCGAGGAGCAGGCTCATATTTAATTGTTATTACTTTTATTGAATGAAAATGCTAATTTTGAAATCAAGTAACAAGGGAAATGCTATCAAGAATGAAGACAGGTCAACGGTTCTTTACCTCATGAAGGGTTAAAGTGGGAAGACCATAACAACCTTCCCTTGCCCTGAAATTCTTCTTGTATACTGCGAACATATGAATTATGAGTCTGTTTTGAAATGTAAATTGCACCCAATGCAGTTGTTACTTCAAGTGATTTAACTGTGTTTTTTGATTACCAAAACTCAAGAATACAGTAATCGACTATGTGGATTATATTTCCTTACCGTATGAACTAGATAGAACTACTTATGTAAGATAACTTGTTAAAAAAATTTCGATTTGCAATCGAAACCCGTAGAGGAATGCTGGGTTACATATGCATGCACTCAGGGAAAATGTCAGTATGAAATTGACACGTCTGGGGAAAATCATAGCAGCTTTCTGCATGATCTTGTCCATCGGGCTGTTCAGACAAACTGCAGTACAGATCTGAGAATGCAAATGTACAAGGTACAGATGGTACTGGACCATCCATGGTCGAAGTCAGCTTGACTCGCAGCAAGGGCGTGAATAGTCCTATACACTGAGGATTGATCATGCAGATAGTCAGCTCGTCCTCGAGACTGAATTTCTGTCCTTATTGTACGTATTTTGTACAGTCTGGACAGTGCCGATAGATAAGGTATAACCGTGAGCTTAGTACATTCATTTTTAATGAGCACTCTCCCGATAATCAACTAAGACATATGTGCTAGCCAGAGAAGTGACGTGATTCTTGCCAGTGAAGGATAAGAGTCCTCACAAACATTGATCTGATCTCCAGTGGTGGTCAAGAAGGTGTGTTGCCCTTACGTGTTCAAGCAAAAGTTCAGCACTTTGCTGAAAGTTCACATGCGTACGGAAGTGAGCCCTGAGCTGTCCAAAGGAATCCCATTCCCTTGGCTTAATCGTCACGTGTACTATCGAGGTCTGCAACAGGATGTTGTGCATGAAAGTGCGAGGCAATTACAAGATCATGAGTTTTATATGTCCACTGGTGAGCGATCCAATCAATATGTTGATAAAGCAGGATTGGAATTCATGGAATGTTGGCTCGTTGATGCGCAACAATAAGAAGTAAGCATAAAAAGCGATGCCAAAAATGGAAAGACACATAGAGCGTTACAAGAATGTAACAACGAAATGGGTATCAAGGGGCTAGGCCCAATCCTGCGTCATGGAGAAACTTAGAATAATCAGAACTCCCTTCTCTATAGAATCTATCGGTCTTAACACTCCAAAGCCGTCCATGAGGCAAATTGACGTATTAAAAGTTTTTTTACATGCAAACTTTGGTAGATTTCTCTTCAAGTGGCTAGGATTAAATTTTGTGCCACTGAAGAATAACACTAGGATACTGGATCTTATAGGTCAAATGGTCAGAAAACAAGAGAATTTCCACGCATTTTCAGTTTATAGAGGTTAATTTGATACTCTCTATATACCAATGCAAACATGTTGACTGCGAAAGCTTACTTAATAAATGCTAAAAATTTTACCAATACCTTTCTCATAGAACGATAAGCTTCTATACAACTTCTTCACAAACGAACTAAAGATTCTTACGTATATAATTCTGATATTTGGTTAAAAGTGGTAAAATCTTCACATGTCATATACTTACAGGTCTTGGCTAGTGCTACTTCACTTTCCGTTCATCTAGAATTATGCATAGTCATATTCTTTAAATCCATCCAAGCAAAGAATCAAACTTGACATCTTTTTCATAAAAAGTACTTTCTTCTTCACATTTGTGTTAGGTATGTAGTGTAGGGCATTTTAATGCCGCTTTCTCGTGCAATATCACAAACACCACATTCTAAAAAACATCATACTTGATTATAATATCACCTGCTTACTCACTCCCTTTCAATAACATCAATTCATCCGAAGTACTTACCCATGACCATCAAAGATGTAGATGTCTGGAGAGAGCCAAGTCGAAAAATCATCGTTCAGAATAAAGTAACATGCAAGTTAGGAATATTCTAACACAAGGTGAATGCAAAATCCACAGGTTGTTCTATAAGACTGCATTATATTTAAAAAAAGAAGCTCAAAGCAGCCCTTATAGCACAAATAATCGCAATAACATTAAATTTTGAAAACATTGAAATTACCAAGTCAAATTATAAAAATCTATGAAATAAAGAGCAAAGATAAGTACTGAAGAAATATTTTTTTACTTCCGTTGCCAAGAGGAATATGATATTAATTTATAAATATTTATAAATAATGTAATTAAATATATATCTATACATTGTAAGGTTGAAACAATTTGCAAGAACTTTAAAATTACAGACTTACGTTGAAATAGCTTATCTTCTCAAATGCAATAGATTTTGTCATTTTCATCGAACAGTGATTAATTCCTCCATATGATTTTGTTTCAGAAATGTATCTCCGTGCATAGTTACTTTTGAATGCGTGACACATTCAAAATCTAGTCACCCTATGGTATCACCAAAGATATCCATGGGCTGTTTGTCAAGAGTGAGAAAAATATAGAAGTAAATGTTTTTATGTATTTAAAAAACAGGTACAAAAAACACCAAATGGATGAACAAATCATATATAATGAGATTATATCAAATTCCATCCAAAGAATAATTCGTATAGGAAGGTAAGTTTCTAAAAAAAATTTATCAAATGCAAGACTAGGTAGCATGAACAAAATACTTGATATCAACTTGTCCATCCTAAAATACCCAAATCGTTAGTGCATTTCATACAATTGTTTGAAAACTGCTTATCCAAAAGCTTTTTTTTCAAAAGATCAAACTTAATACTTTGAAAACTTAGTATCAACACTGCAAGATGTTTTTGGATAGCGAAGTGATCGAAGGCTTATAAATAAGATAAGGGGCACCACAATTTGTGTATCATCTATAGAAAACAATATGCTTACCACAAATTGGCCAAAAAATTATGAAATCTTCGGAATGGAAAAATGAGAGAATTAAATGTTTACAGAGGATCTTCTTTTCAATTACCTCTTAGTTCTTTAGAATAGCAATCACCACTCGTGAGGATGGATTTTGATAAAAGAAAAAAAGGGAAGCCTTAAGATTTAATGGTAAATATCTATGTGTCATCTTTGACTGTCTAAACATAAATGCATTTGAGACATTAATTAGGAAATAAGTGACATGCACCTCCAATACAGCTGTATCCTCTATGATAAAATAGAGGAATAAAGAATATCCAATATACTCTATGAAATATGCTACACAACCATGGTATGACTAACCAGTTTAAATGAATTCTTCCAGAAATAATCCGACTAGTGCCTGGCTGATTCAAAACGTCATCTTCCCTATCACAAATGCTCAAGTAATTTGGAATAGCTAAGAAAAATCAATTGATTATTTGTCTAGAAGCAGTTATTAAATTCTTCAGTTTCATATCTTTGATAAATTCCTTGAGAAAAAATACAAATTTCTTATGTATATACGGAAAAGAGAAGTTCAAGAAGCACAATAAATCTCTGGGCTGATTTTTGTATTCCATACAGGACTTTCCTTTCCATATATGGACTTGAAGGTCATAAAAAGTAAATATTCTTTCAGTAAATCTAACCACAGAAAAAAGATGAAGGACATGTGTAGCTCTGCTATACTGTCGAACATGTTTTACATTGACGTAGTCAAATTTTATCAAATACAATGTATATCATTACATATATTTCTCCGACCCATGGACTTGTGACTAGTAGTAATCAATACACAATCTCGTTCATATTGCTACTGTACATGCGCT